ACTCTTTCAGGCAACAGAAACCCCCTTTCTGACAACGGAGCTATTTTACCCTTGCTGAGTGGAGTAAGGCTTCCGCAGTTAGTTCTGGCAATACAGCTGTTGAGTGGAGCCGCATAAACTGTCAGAAGCGTGTGCAGGTGGATGCTGGTTGGCACTAGTGGCTGTTGCTAGAAGTCCTGTTAGCAGAGCCAGGTAAAATCTAGTCATAGCTTGTGTTAAGTAATATGCGAAGAATTCTCATGATTGGTCCATTTGAATGCTTTAAAGCTAGCAATTATTAGGCCACTGAAGCCAGCTGCCAGTTGTCTGCCTAATTAAGTGGTTGGTGAGCAGCATTATTGCATCTGAAATTGTGGAAGAGGATTACCAAGAATATTAGGCAAACCTGTTAAGTAGAGAGTATCCTCAATAATTTTCAGTGCTTTTTAAAAATGCTTTACTTTCCACTACCTTTAGGCCCATCTTTAGTCAGGTAGACAACTACATTCATAGAAATGATCAGCTTTAGGCTTTTAAGTAACGTATGTTCTTACAGATCTGTTTTTGAAGCGTATACGACTCGCGTTTTATTCTTAGTATATTTCCCTGTATATACAAGTCCTGAGCAAAGCAAACATTTTTATGATGGGCTCAGATGGATTGACAGAAACTTGACTTGGCATTTCACTTTTTTTAGGCATTTTCTTGAAACCAATAAGAAAACTCCTACTGATGTAAATGGGGGTGTTGCCCATTGGCATCGAAAGGTATCATCTTTTGATCTCCAAGGAGTACTAGTGCCTTCTTCCTGCTTAACTTTTACTAGTTTTATTTTATACTTATTGTTAATGTTCATTTCAGTGGTTCTGTGGTACTTAGGATAATTTTTATTTTTCAGGAAGTACTGCAGAGATGAATTCATTTCTGGATGATCCAGAATTTGCTGAAATTATTTTAAAAGCAGAGCAAGCTATAGAGTGTGCAGTTTTTCCGGAAAGAATCTCCCAAGGATCCAGTGGAAGTTACTTTGTGAAGGATCCAAAGGGGGTGAGTTATAATTCCCAAATCAGACAGATAATAATCAATTTACTTTATTTGGAGAAGAGGAACAATATGAAACTACCAAACAACACTTTATTTAAACAGCACGATCTTATGTTTAGTTGATAATTTGGTAATTTGTGAACACTTCTGTGGGAATTGGTTTGATCAGGTGTTTTGTCTCCTTGCTATGCCTAACAAGATATGGTCAACTGAAGAACAGTTGTCTTCTTTTAGAGCAGGGGTGGGCAATTATTCGGGAGTAAGGGCCACATGAGAAGTTTTACCAAGCTCTTATAGGCTGGGTCAGTATTCTCCACCCTCCCCCGCCCCGTCCTTCCCCGCTTTCCCCCAAATACAACTTGCCAAAACTCCCTATGGGACTTTGGGTGGGCAGGGAGCAGTGTTCCAGAGCAGGAAGGGCAGGATCTTTTCTCTGCACACCCTGCCCTGTGGGGAACTGGGGGGAGGTCAGGACAGGAGAGCTCACCCAGGCTGTGGCTGGCCCCTGTGGGGCCATGGCTCGCCTGTGGCAGGCCACAATGTGCTCCTGCTCGTGCCTGGCAGCCCTGGCCCGGGCTGGCAGTGTGCAGCTTCTTGTGGGGCTGTTCTGGTACAGCTGTAGCCAACTCGGTGCTGCCCTGCTCTCTTCGCCTGCAGCAGGAGCTGCCAAGCTGAAGCGCTCCCCCCACTGCACAGAGCAGCACAGCAGGGTCAGGAGTAGGAGGAGCCACTGCTGGAGGTGAGGGGAACAGAGCAGCACTTGGCCCCCTGTAGCCGCACTGGGAATAGCTCTTTCTGAAGCTGTGTGCTGACTGCGGGCTGGGACTGCAGAAGTGTAGTGGAGGCTGCCCCCGTGGGACTTGGCCTATGTAGAGTGCTGCAGGAGTAGCTGTGGGCCAGATCCAGTCAGTTGGTGGGCTTTATTTTGGCCACCTCTGCTTTTAGAGTAATATTTATTCAGGTTCTTTAGCTTACACCAAATAAAATATATAAGGATTAATAGCAAACCCATTTTTGTTAGAAAGGAAATAACAAATTCTTGTCCAAAATTAAATTCTTTTAAGTAACATTAGAATAACAGACACTTGGTGGGATAGCTCTTGTGACTGGAACACTGTCATGGATGGGTACAAACTGTTCAGGAAGGACAGGCAAGGAAGAAGAGCAGGAGTTGCACTTCATGTAAAAAAAACTATACGATTACTCAGAGCTCCAGTATAAAACTGGAGATAGGCCTATTGAAAGTCTCTGGATTCAGGTTAGAAGGGAGAGCAACAAGGGCGATGTTGTGGTGAAGGTATGCTATAGACCACCCACCACTTCTTCCTGGTCTGACGAAGCTTTCTTTAAGCAGCAAGTGGAAGGTTCAAAATCACATGCCCTGGTTCTCATGGGGAATGTCAATCTCCCTGACATCTGCTAGGAGGTCAATACAGCAGAGTACAGGCAATCCACAAAGTTTTTGGAGAGTGCTGGGAACAACTTCCTGGTGTGGCCAACTAGGGGCCATGCTGTTCTTGACCTGTTGCTCACAAACGGGGAAGAGTTGGTGGGGAATGTAGTGGTGGATGGCAACTTGGGCAGCAGTGATCACCAGATGATTGAGTTTAGGATCCTGAAAAAAGGAAAGTTGGAGAGTAAGGACCTTGGCCTTCAGAAAAGCATACTTTGACTCACTCAAGGAACTCATGGGCAGGATCCCCTGGAAAGCCAAACTGAGGAGAGGAGTCCAGGAGAGCTGGCTCTACTTCAAAGAAGCTTTAATGAGAGTGTAGGAACAAACCATCCTGATCTGCAGGAAGACTAGCAAGTATAGCAGAAGACCAACTTGGCTCAGCAGGGAACTCTTCAGTAAACTAAATTGCAAAAAGGAAGCTTATGAGAAGTGAAAACTGGGAAAAATAAGTAGGCAGGAGTTATAAGGGCATTACTCAGGCATGCAGGGATGAAGTCAGGAAGGCCAAAGTGCAATTGGAGTTGCAGCTAGCAAGGGTTGTGAAGAGGAACAAGGAGGGTTTCTATGAGTATGTCGGTAGCAAGAGGAGGATCAGGGAAAGTGTGGGTCCCTTACTGAATGAGGGTGGGGAACATAGTGACCAATGATGCAGAAAAGGCTGAAGTGCTCAATGACTTCTTTGCCCCAGTCTTTACAGGAAAGGTCCGCTCCCTGACTACTGCACCAGGCAGCACAGTTTGGGGAGGAGGTGAACAGCTGACAGTCAGGAAAGAACAGGTTATTGACTGTTTAGAAAAGCTGGACATACACAAGTCCATGGGGCTGGATGGGGTGCACCTGAGGGTGCTGAGGTGAGTGAGGTGCTTAGTTGGCTGATGTGATTGCAGAGCCATTGGTCATCATTTTTGAAACTCATGGTGGTCAGGATAGGTCCTGGATGACTGGAAAAGGGCAAGCATAGTGCCCATATTTAAGAAAGGGAAAAAGGAGGTTCCAGGGAACTACAGACCAGTCAGCCTTAACTCAGTCCCTGGAAAAATCATGGAACAGATCCCCAAGGAATCAATTTCTGAGCATTTGGAGGAGAAGATGATTAGGAACAGTCAGCATGGATTCACCAAGGGCAAGTCATGCCTAACCAACCTGATTGCCTTCTATGATGAGATGACTGGCTCTGGATGTGGGGAGACCAGTGGATGTGATGTACATCGATTTTTTTTTTTGCAAGGCTTTTGATATGGTCTCCCAACAACATTCTCGCAGGCAAGCTAAGGAAGTATGGGCTGGATAAATGGACTGTAAGGTGGATAGAAAACTGGCTAGAGCATCGGGTTCAGGGTAGTAATCGATACTGGTTGCCAACTAGACATCAAGCCATTAAGTGGAGTGCCCCAGGTGTTGGTCCTGGGGCTGATTTTGTTCAATGTCTTAATCAACAACCTGGAAGATAGCATAGAGTGCACCCTCAGCAAGTTTGCATATGACGCCAAACTGGGAGAGTAGTAGATACACTGGAGGGTAGGGCTAGGATTCAGAGTGACCTAGACAAATTGGAAAGGTTAGGCCAAAAGAAATATAATGAGGTTCAACAAGGGCAAGTGCAAAGTCCTGCACTTGGGGCAGAACAATCCCATGCACCAGTACAGGCTGGGGACTGACTGGCTTGGCAGCAGTTCTGCAGAAAAGGACTGGGGGGTTACAGTGGACAATAAGCTGAATATTTGAGCCAGCAGTGTACCCTTGTTGCCAAAAAGGGTAATGGTGTACTTGGCTGCATCGGTAGGAGTGTTGCCAGTGGATTCATGGAAGTGATTATTCCCCTCTACTCGGCACTGGTGAGGCCACATCTGGAGTACCATGTTCAATTTTGGACCTCCCCCCTACTACAGAAAAGATGTGGACAAATTGGAGAGAGTCCAGCAAAAATTATGAAGGGGCTGGGGGATGTGATTTCTGAGGAAAGACTGATGAAACTGGGTTTACTTAATCTAGAGAAGAGGAGACTGAGAGGGGATTTAATAGCAGCCTTCAACTACCTGAAGTGGGGTTTGAAAGAGGATGGAGCTAGACTGTTGTCATTGGTGGCAGGTGGCAGAACAAAGGGACAGTGATCTCAAGTTGCAGCAAGGGAAGTTTAGGTTAGATATTAGGAAGAACTAGGAGGGTAGTAAAACACTGGAACAAGTTACCCAGAGAGGTTGTGGAATCTCCATCCTTGGAGGTTTTTAAGACCTGGCTAGACAAAGCTTTGGCTGGGATGATCTTCTGGTTGGGCATGGTCCTGCTTTGAGCATGGAGTTAGACTATATGACCTCCTGGGGTCCCTTCCAACCCTAGTTTTCTATGATTCTACACAACTATAGTATTGGGAGGGACTGCTGGGGTCATCTAGTCCAATTCTCTGTACAAATTAAAAATTGGCTATTGTTAAGTCATCCCATGCACATGCTTATTCAGTTTCTTCTTAAACACTGCAATGAAGAAGATTCTACACCTTTCCTGGGCAGCTGGTTCTCACAGTAAGGAAGTTTATTCTGAGAATTAATCTAAATATGTTTTGCTGTAGTTTAAACTCGTTGCTTTGCATCCTGTGCAGCCAGGGAGAAGTTGTTTTACCTGTTCGTCATGGTAGCATTTAATATATTTGAAAACTTTCCTCATGCTCCTCTCTTAATCTCCCTTCCTCCAAACTAAACATACCTCCTGGCTATAGCACTGCACTTTCTGGCTACCTTACCTTGTACAGCTTGTGTATCTGAATTCCCCCTTCTCATTTTATCCTTTTTCATATGCAGAGTCCAGAACTACCTGGAGGAGTTGTGGAATCTCCATCCCTGGAAACTTGCAAGACCTGGTTATACAGACACTTAACTGGGATGATTTAGACGAGTGACACTTGGGATGGTTTAGCCAGGGATGATCCTACTTTGAGCAGGGACTGGACTAGATGACTTTAAGGTCCCTTGCAGCCCTACTTTCCTATTATCCTATGACTAGAGATATACTTAATGCACGATTATGTGATTTATTTATTTATTTATTTTTCATCATCCCTGAAAAGCTGGAGCCCTGTTGTTTGGAGGGTGTGGGGGGAGTGGCAAAGGCCTTGGAGAGAAGAAAGAGGATTTGCAAACAAGCTGCCAGCAGCCTTAATGCAGGGAGGAGGGGAGGGGAGAAATCAATTGTCCTTTCCTGGAGGGCTTTAAGTGAGCAATGAGAGTGAACATTAGGAGATGATTACTTGAACTGTAAAGAAAGTAAACACCTGGCTGTTAGAAGCTGGTGTTAATTACAAGCTTCCTGGTCTAGCTGCTGCCCCTTTTTTCAGCACCTGGTCTGTTCTAACATGCTTCGCTAGGGGTTCATGAACTCTGGATGACCAGGCTGCTCTTTAAAAATGTGTTTCTGGTGTTCTAGTGGCCCTGTAAATATACCTTGTAAATGTATTGTTAATACATGCAAGGTTTACCATGGTTCTGTGTAAATATGCTTTACAGTGCTTTTTAAGTCTCCTGGTTTACTTTTAAATCACTGTTGTTTTGTGCTT